GAGGAAGCTGGGCCTAGGCTGTCCAGAGGAGTGTGTGGTGAAAGACTAAGAGGAAGCTGGGCCTAGGCTGTCCAGAGGAGTGTGTGGTGAAAGACTAAGAGGAAGCTGGGCCTAGGCTGTCCAGAGGAGTGTGTGGTGAAAGACTAAGAGGAAGCTGGGCCTAGGCTGTCCAGAGGAGTCTGTGGTGAAAGACTAAGAGGAAGCTGGGCCTAGGCTGTCCAGAGGAGTCTGTGGTGAAAGACTAAGAGGAAGCTGGGCCTAGGCTGTCCAGAGGAGTGTGTGGTGAAAGACTTGCGCTGCACCGGCCAGGCCTGCGTCCGTCAGTGAGGCTAGAGAGCGGGAAAGAAGTGACTCCACACCATGAACACATGAGCCACTCATGCACTCGTGGGAGACAGACAGAAGAAAAGCAAAAATGACATCAAAGTGTCATGGCGACGGGGGGACCCAAGGGAACATGGAAAGGGTGAAGGGGGGCTGTATAATCAAAACAAACAAACATGAAATTCTCAGCAATAAATGTATTACTCTTTAAAAATTGTTCACTGACTTGCACACATGTACCATGGCATGCATGTTCCCACCCCTGTAAGTGTGCACACGCACACACTCAATAATAATAACTAAATGTTTTTGAATCTGGGCATTCTAGCATTAGCTTGCAATCCTAGAGCAGGCCAGGTAGAGAACACAGATCCCTGATGCTACCTGGCAAGCCAACACAGCAGCTGGCGAGTTCAGGTCAGAGATAAAGCCTCAAAAAAGAGCAGATGAGGAACAAGTGAGGTAACCACTCTAACATGCATACAATATCCATACCAGTCTCAAACACGTGGGCCTGCAAATAAATACATGTGTGCACACATGCACGTGTACACACATACACATGCAAACACACACACACACACGAATCTCACTGGACATTTGTTTATCAATATAAGATAGCTTCATTTTGCTAATAAGGAAACTGGGAACTAAATTTACCCAATGTGATAGTGGCAAGCAATACCAAGCAATATGGTACCAAAATTAAACTATTTTGTTGTTGTTGTTGTTTTCAATACAGGGTTTCTTTGTATAACTTTGGCTGCCCGGGAACCAGCTCTGTAGACTATGCTGGCCTCGAACTCACAGAGATTCACCTGCCTCTGCCTCCCAAGGGCTGCCCAACTCAAAATTCAAACTCTTAACAACACTGTATTCTACAAAACTATCAATGGTTGTAATCTAATACAAATCTACAAATACACATACAAGATCCTAAAAAAAGCATGTTTAATCATTAATTATAGCAATTAACTATAAATGCTATGATCTAAAAAAATCATAAAATTACCCAAATATATAGCATTGGCAATGCTTGACCGACCAGTTTTCAGAGGTTAAGCTTGTAAAAGAAGCCAAAGGACCTGGAGAGACGGCTCAGGGGCTCAGAGCACATTCCACACTGCTAGAGAACCCTTGCTCTGTGCCCAGAACAAGGTAATAAATGCATGCTTTCTGGATTTTTAAATTTTAATTTTAGTCATCACAACATAATTTCCCAATGTGACGTGATGTTTACTAGTTAGGTAACTTAATGTGGCTGTTAAGAAGATCAGTTATTTTTATAGATCACAAACATTAAGATATCATTGTGCCACCTTTTAAGACCTAAAAAAAAAAGTTAAGGATTATTTAAAGTTCATAAAAACCGATAACAATGAATAAGATAGACATCAATCCTTCATTCCATTTAATTTCCTATTTACTGTGCCTTAGCTTGCCAGATGTGCCATGTCAGGAACAGAAATTAATTTGGAATAATTGAACTAGTTTTAAATCTAGTAGAGGAATACTATCCCCAAAGGGGAACATATTTCTCAAAGCCCCCTGCCTGCTGAAAATTTTAAATCCTTCATAACAATTTAAATTATTTCATAGCTATTATAGAGTGAAGTGTTCTTTTTGCCCATATTGGCAAAAGTTTGTAGAATCAATCATATACATTCTGATATATGACAAAAGTGTAACCAACAAAGGCTAGAGAGATGGCTCAGTGGGTAAGATCACTGGCTGCCCTTCCAAAGGACCCTGGTTTGATTCCCAGCACCCACATGGTAGCTTCTACATCTGTAACTACAGTCCCAAGGGACCTAACACCCCCTCTGGTCTCTAGGGGTACTGCAAACATGTGACACTGTACACTCAGGCAGAACATGCATGCAAATAAGATAAAAATAAGTATTCGTCTTTAATTACAAGGCAGAAAACCTACATAAAGTAGACTTCATCAGTAAGATCAAAATATATTGTATGAGAAAATTTTTTTAAAACTTAAAACATAATTTAAGAAATTGGAAATTTTTGTATTTTATTTTTAAAGATTCAGTATTTTAATTTATGTATCTGTTAGTGTGTATGTGTGTGATTGTTTATATCTGTGTGTGAGAGAGACTATGTGTGTCTGTGAATGTGACTCTCTGTGCATGTCTATATCTGTGTCTATGTATGTATATGTGTGTCTGTATCTATGTGTCTGTGTGCATGTGCTCTTGGAGGAAAACGATGACATCAGATACCTGGGAGCCAGAGTTACAGGAGGCTATGAGCCACCTGACACAGGTACTAGGAACCAAATGCTTGGAGGAACAGAAAGTGTCCTTAACCACTGAGCCATCTTTTTAACCCCTGAAACTTCCTTTTCAAATCTTTAAAAATAACATATTTATCTATTTGGTTTTACCAAAAAAAAAGGGGAAACATGGCAAAATTTCTCAGTTTCTGACTTGTAGTTCACTCCTGTAAGAAAGCTAAAACAGAATGAAAATAAGATAAAAATGAACTTTGGTCCTCCACCTCTCCATCACCTCTCCATCCATCTCGGTACGGGAGCCGTGTCATGGGAGTGTGTCATGCACTCTACCCTCCTGTCCACACGGCTTTACTTGCAAATGTTCATGGTGTAATGCGTTGTTGGTCAGGTCCGCGGCCTCTGGCTTTGGCACAGCATCAATACTGGACCCCACCAATGTCCGACCCACATCCGTGAGCCACAGGGACACGAGAGATCAGACTGCTACCGATCTGGAGCTTCATCGCTACTGGCTAATCTCACGGCAGCAGAAGGTGCTATGTACGAAACGAAGGGGAAATGTAATCAGCAGTTACCCAGCCGTGAACACCAAGACCTGCAGTAGTGACCAGCACAGCAAGGTAGGCCCACTGACAACACTGGCATGTTCTGGCAGGAATTAACCTTCTATTGGACTGAAGGCCTACTCTACAAGACAAAATTCATACCTGGTTACTGGACCAAGAACCATTAGCTGACTGAGTCATAAACTCTAGGAAAGAATTTACTGCCAGCATTCTGCTAAATGCACACAGTGTTAAACTGCACTTCATATACATATCTGGTCTATTAGACCAATGGGCTAATAAGATCTCAGCTGCAGTCAGAACTTCCTATTGCAGTAGACGGCAATTAACAGAGACTCGCGCCTGGACTCACGGCTGGTCAAGGTGCAGAGTATACGAGACTTTAGTGCTCTGCCCTAGATGGATAGACATCGTCACCCTCCCAAGAGGTTCCGGATCTACAGCGCTCAGTCCTGGGACACCGACATTGTCACCCTCCCCACGAGGTTCAGGATCTACACAGTGCTCAGCCCTAGATAGACTCTGACATTGTCACCCTCCCCACGAGGTTCCGGATCTACAGTGCTCAGCCCTGGGACACCTACGTTGTCACCTTCCCCACGAGGTTCCAGATCTACAAGTGCTCAGTCCTGGGACACCAACATTGTCACCCTCCCCATGAGGTTCAGGATCTACACAGTGCTCAGTCCTGGGACACCAACATTGTCACCCTCCCCATGAGGTTCAGGATCTACACAGTGCTCAGCCCTAGATAGACTCTGACATTGTCACCCTCCCCACGAGGTTCAGGATCTACACAGTGCTCAGCCCTAGATAGACTCTGACATTGTCACCCTCCCCACGAGGTTCAGGATCTACAATGCTCAGCCCTGGGACACCTACGTTGTCACCTTCCCCACGAGGTTCCAGATCTACAAGTGCTCAGTCCTGGGACACCAACATTGTCACCCTCCCCACGAGGTTCAGGATCTACACAGTGCTCAGCCCTATATGGACTCCGACATTGTCACCCTCCCCACGAGGTTCCGGATCTACACAGGAGAGGTGTTGGGAAGACTGTAAAAGCAGCGGTGGTAGGCGACGGCTGTCAAACAATATTTTCCACTTGTGGCAGGAGGGCTGTACTCACAAACCCACCGCAGCTCAATTGCATGCATACGACCTGTCTAAGATCAAGACAGCTGAAAGTCGTAAGGGATGAATAAAGGGCCATGGAGCCCCGCCCCTCGCTGGAGCCCCGCCCCTCGCTGGGGAGATGCCTGCAACTGATGGAGGCTGAAGGAGGGAGAATCAGTTTACTTCAACTGTGCATCCACTGGACGGTTCCACAGCAGCACACACGCTGTAGCACGGGTGGACTCCGTGGGTTTAAAGGGAGTGTATGAAGTTGGCAAAGGAAAGCAGGGGTTACAGCTACAATAAGATGAAAAGAGAAATCGTGCTGGCGCGAAGAACACAGTCAAAACGGCTTATTTTTAAACAGTGGTAGAATTAACATTTCAGACCAAATTCACACCCTTAACTGCCATCCTGTGAGAGAAGTCTCGCCTTCTCAGGCACCGTCTATAATTGTCAATTACTCCAGTCTCCTATCAGAACATAACTGTCTGCAGTGATCACTTAAATAATGAAATTATATGCACTTTTACTAAATTTCTTATAATATGTATGCATTCAATTTAGAGTAAAAGTGTAGTATTTTAAAATAAGCATATCATAGAACTTTTATAGTTTTCAGAATCTTCAATCAAAAATACTGACGATGGATAGCAAAATTTTTAGGTGTAGTCTCCAGAAGAGACCCCTCAATTCTCACTTTCTTCTGGTTAGCAAACACATGCTGAAGTCAAAGTATTTACCTGTACACTGCCCTCCGTTGGTGGGGTCTCCATAATACCCGGGCATGCAGTCCTGACACTGCCTTCCAGTGGTGAGATTCTTGCACTGCTCACAGACGTTGTTATTGATGCAGGTGCTGTGTCCGTTACACTGGCAAGCTGAAGGAAATGGGAGAAAAGAGCACAAACAGCTCACTAACAACAGAAGTATACAGCTCTCAAGAGAGACGTTACTTTTAAAACCTTATTCTAGCCAAGTCCAAAGCGCTTTACCCAATTCTTAATACAACACAGTCAGCTGAGAGCATCAATAAGACAGAGAATGCACCTTATCGTAGGGTCACAACTGACCTCTTGGCTTATAGACGAAGGGGCTACAGATAACGTGAAATATTACAGGTAGGTGGGGAATAGTTTAATATGCTCATTAAAGAATCATGTGAATGTTTTATCCATTAAATAAGACAAGATTATATAATAGAGCTTTCATAAGGAATGTTAAGTTCTCAATAGATCATAGACGTATTTATACTTAATAACAAACTATAAATACAAAAAATATCAGGCAACAGATCTTAATTTCTAGAAAACAAATTGCTATTCAGATAAACAAAGGGACTCTTAATTTGAATAAAAGTGTATCTTCTTCCTTTTTTTCTTTTCGAGACAGGGTTTCTCTGTGAAACTGTCCTGGTTGTTCTGTAACTCACTTTGTAGACCAGGCTCACTCACACTCACCTATCCTCTCTCTATCCACCTGCCTCTGTCTCCTGAGTGCTGGGATTAAAAGCGTGCCCTGCGGTGCCACCACCCAGCAAGGTGTATTGTCTTAAAGCAAGAAGTTGGTTTTCAAATCGTCTATAAAATAAGAAAATCTAACACAAAAGGTCAAGATAAAAGAAAATCAAATATGTAAAATATTTAAAATATGACAATTTTGTTTTCAAATGTTTTAAAACTCACAAATATGCCTTTCAAAAAGTTAGCGATGGCCAAGTTAGTTCGGCAAGATCTTTCTGTATCATCAGCCACCAAAAACATACATGGAGTTCTTTTATAATAAAAACATTGATATTAAAACTTCTACTGTTATGCTTAAATGGTTAAGAAGGAATTTTGTAGATCTATGGCAGATACATAATTAAATTGCTCTGTCTAAAAAAAAAATGAGTACCCACTACACATAAAGAATTGCCTGAAGAACCAAAATAAGAAATAGATTAGCACACTTTGTGAAATTTCAAACCACATGAAAACAAAATTATCTAACTATTAGCACTTGCTTCTGAAAAAGAAAGATGAATTTAGCACTAACGTAGTATATAGATTATGACGTCAGTACCAGAGCAGTCCCCACAGGAGCAGCAATTGTTGTGGCAGCAGCTATACAAGCAAGGCCAGGAATGAGCCCTGCCACCTCCTGACACTAAAGAACACACTGACCCAATGCCAGCCAACCTTTCATGCCTGAATGGGAAAAGACGAAGGCAATCAAGAAGCATTTCCTGGATCCAACGCCACAAAGCTTCTGATAATTGTGTTATAAGGAGGCTGTATCATACAGACATGATGGAATTTAGACCCTACTGCAGGGAAAATTCCAGGGAGGGAAGTGCCACTGTCAACGCTTACAACTAACACACAATCAAGGGAAAGAGACACGCGTGCTGTGAAACACTGACCCCGAGGACCAGCTGTGTCAGACACAGAAGGGAAGGCTAAACTCACAGGTCAGGGGTCACACTTTAACCAACACCCCCACCAGACTGCAGCAAGAGGTAGCATCACCTGACTCTGAATAAGTCTCCCTGGATGAATTGTCATTTTAAATGGTCTAATATTAACATAACTACAGAACACAAATAAAACTAAAGACAATCCATCTATTTTATTTTGCCTACATTTTAATTCTACCCCAGATGGTTCCTTATTTATGGAAACACAAACAGAAAAAAAATCAAAATAAAACATAATGACAAATTTATCATTTGATATGCAAATAAAGCACATAGCTCTGAAAATATGGGCTCTCTAGAAACAGATGTGCTGCATTTAAAAATATCTTATTAAATTCCCAACATGTTTGCATATAAATTCAGCGGAAGAAAGAAAAATCTTGAGCAAAACCTTTTTCAATATATAGCCTTCCTTCAAAGAAATTGTCAGGGACTGAAACGGTGCGTGGTTTAAGACTGAGATAGAAGAAAATCTGAACTCTACACAGGATACACAGCAAGTATCAGCAGACACGGGGTCCAAATCTAGCAAGGCCAGGAAGCGCAACTGCTGCCACCTCCCGGGAAGAGAGAAAAGCTGAGTCATGTTTAGAAACTGAAGTCATCACCTGCATTGTGCAGATGAACACATGATTAAAGCGCACGGAAGACCAAAGAAGCAGAAAAGAACCGGATGTGCCACCAGCATCGATGCATGAAAGGGAAAGGACACACGGAAATCCAAACTCTCTCCATGTGTGGGTCTGAAATGCATGTTGCCACAAGGTTAAGGAACTCTGAAATCAAACACGCATGTAAAACACACGCCCTCTGCCACAGGTCTCCCAAACCTCACAAGGGCAGCTCAGAATGACCCCTTAAATTATATCTACAACTCAAATCATGTAAATATAGCATAGAACAGAGATAAAATAATGTTTTCTTCACTGGAAGGGACTAGACAGCCAATATGCTAGACTTTGCAAATCCCATACTTTTTTCTCTTTTTTTCAAAATTTTATTAATTGTGATGGATATTTTGCCTGCTTGTAGGTCTGTACAGAATAGGTGTGCATAGGTGAGCTGTTTGTTCCCTTGGAAGCCAGAAGAAGGCACTGGATGCCCTGGAACTGGAGTTACTGTGGTTGTGAGCTATCATGTGGTGATGGGTATCAAACCAGACCTTCAGGAAGCAGAGTTCTTCAGTCCTCTTTGTGGGCTATTGGGTCAGAGAGAGGGACAGGCGGAGGCAGGAAGGCAGAGACGGAGAGAGAACATGAAATTGGAAGAGGTGTGTGATCTAAGGGTCCTGAAAGACTTGCTGAAGAGGAAGAGATGGAGAGAGAAACATGATCAACATATATTGTTGGTATGTGTGAGAGCGGACATTCAGCGGTCACTGCGTGGGTCCTCAAAGACGAAAAGACTAAGGGAGCCTGCCTGGGGCTAGTTCACTTTTCTTTTGTATACAATTTAGATGATTCTTCACAATCAATGGTCCTTGTCCCTTCACTGGACACAGCCAGCCATGCGGGCCAGGTTAGCAGGTCTGTGCCAAGCTCAGCCAACAGCGAAGAGGCTTCCTCCTGCGCTGAAGGGAACAAACACAGAGACCCAAGGCCAGACAATATGCTTTCCTTGGAAATGAGGTATCTCCATCTAATACCTCTCCTCGGGGCTTTAGGAACTCTGCAGAAGGTAGAAAGAGTGTAAGAGCCAGAGGGAATCAATTATGTACCAAGGAATCATGGCCTTCTAGATACAACAGATGCATGTAAGACTGAGGCAGCCTGCACACACAGCCTGCACACAGTCTGCACAGGTCTACACTAGATGCAGTCATAAAACTGAAATAAGAAATGAACACACACACCCATTCCTAACTCAGCAGTCACTTGGGAACAACAACAAAAAAAAAATAGTTCCCTCTAGAGAGTCTCATAGAGGAAACAAACCACTCTTAAGAACAGGCCCCATGCCAACATAAACTCAACACTCTACAGAAGTCCTGCAATTCTTTAAAACATTAAACATAGGGTTCTCATATGACTCAATAATCCACTTCTAGATAAACAGAAAGATAAAAAGAAACATCTCCATGCAGAAGTTCTCACACAATGGTTACAAGGGCATCAATCACAATACCATAATAGAAATAACCAAAAGTACATTAGCAAACAAAAGAAAGCACAGCTGTGGTGCATCTATGTAACTGAATAGTACATCGACATAAAGAGAACTTATGTAGGCCACAAAAAGAAATCCTGAAAACATTATATAGATGCTGGGATTAAAAACCAAGGACAAAGACCACATATCATAAGAGCCCAACTAAACAGTGGAAGGAAATCAATGTTTCTAAGTGCTGGAGAAGGGGGAAATTTGAAATGACTCTTAAGGGGCCCCAGGTTTGGTTTCATAGTGATTGATGCACTCTGGAACTACATGACGGTGGTGGTGGTGGATTTAGGACATTGTACTCAAAAGCTATGACTTATACAAGTTAAAACGATGAATTAATGGCACATGGAATACATGTCATAAACAAGTATATACATAAAGAAGTTGAAAAATAATTGATGCAGAGTCCACCCATTTCTACACCTCAGCCCCGCACCTCCACCAATGTGTCATTTATTACACGCTACTCTGCGCTAACCACTACACCTCAGCCCCGCACCTCCACCAATGTGCCACTTGTTACACGTTACACTACTTTCACATTTGATGTGGGATTCCCCTCTACATGCTGTGAATATGTTTTATTGCCACTGGATAATAAAGAAACTGCTTTCAGCCAATGGCTTAACAGAATAGAACTAGGTGGGAAAACTAAACTGGAACCTCACTGGTAAGCCACAGTCACGTGATGATACACAGATTAATGGAGATGGGTTATTTTAGGATATAAGAGCTAGCAAGAAATACATTAAAGCTATTGGCCAACCAGTATTGCAAATAATACAGTTTCTGTGTGATTAATTTGGGTCTGAGCAGCCAGGAATGAATAAGCAGTTTCAGCCTACACACATCCATTTTAAAAAGTGGAATATTTTTTATACTTTGATTTTGGGTTTTTTCAAGCAAGTTAAATGTATAATTGATGACATAGAAGTACCTTATCTCTAGTTTCAAAACTTTGCTCTCCCTACAGAGAGGCAGACCACAAAACTACAAATCTTATACACATTCTAATGCCACTAAAATAAAATGGGTCCATAGAGATATTACTTGTAAAATGCAGGAAACTAGATGCAACAGACCCGAACTAATGAAGCTTTTGTTCAAACTACAAACCTTTCCAGTTTTTCTGCTTTAATTTTTGCTTCAAAATCTTACTCCAAACCTGACTGAAAGCAACATCACTATAACACAACCTGACACAGTCTGCCTTAAAATCCCTGCCAGTTTAACTCTGAATCACCCTTGAACTTGGACTCCCCAGTTTTCACTAATTCTTAGCAGAAAGCAAAGCAAAGAGCCACTAATCCAACTCCCAAGAGCCTTTGTTCTCATCTGAAACCCCATGAGCTTGGTCATTACGGCATTCTAGTCTCAGGTCTCAGGTCCCGCCAGAAGAGCCCCTGAGCCCTGATCACACACCCTAAGGCCGCACTAACATGCAGCTCGGAGCTTTTCTAGAGTAGATGCATAGGATTCTCAGCCACATGGTCTGATTTGGGAATCTAGTTTCTGCTGCCAGATTTTTAATTTTTCAAACACAGCGTCAAATCCCTGAGGAACCAAGTCACGGGGGGATTGCTATTTTGGCTTATGGTTTCATCGTATTCAGTGGGGAAGAGTTCAGCAAAGCACATCCAAGAAGGTGTGGACACCAGCTCGCTTTCTCCATTTCCCCTTGTATTCCTTAGGCCCTGGCCTATAAGAGATGCCACCACGTGCAAGCCAGGCTTCTTTCCTGTAGCTCGTCCTCTCCAGACCTACACGCAGACAGGACAAGGAAGGGTTCCACTGTCCTGTGAGACACCTCTCTGTACAATCAAGCTGTAAATGAGAGCAGACATCAAACTGCTTGAGAAGGTCCCTCTAATATAATTTCCTGCCTGAAGAAATCCACACCTGAGAAGTCTGGACATTCAGAGCATCACTGCACTAAGGCGTGAGCATGGTTACACATTTTCAAGGACACGATTTTATATTTGAATCAAATGGCACTAGTTGTGCTTAGTGCCTATATCTCAATGCAGGACAATATTTTTAAAGATTTTCTTTCTCCTTTTCCATTTTTTGAAAATCCTATTAAGTGTATTCGGAACTTTAAATTCTACCCCATCTTTGACCTCTGTTGCATCTTGCATTTTTATCTCTACTTACTTCTCCTGAGTGCTGAGTTGCTTCTTAGTGCTTCTCTTTCATGTTGCTGTTCCTGTCTTACACGTGTACTACACACGCCGGCCTTCAGTTCCAATAACTACATTTTCCTTTCTGCAAGTTTCCTTTGACTATTACTCTAGAACTGCAGTGTGCTTTTCAAACTGTACTTTGAAATTTATAGTTACAGAATTTCAGATCTATAAATTTATAAATCTGCAAAAATATAACAAAGTAATTCCGTACCAAATGTTAGTGTCTTACCCCAACATTAGGAAACTTGATCATATCATCCACATTGCCCTCTTCACCCCTCCCCTCACATTGCTCCCTCACTCTTCCCACATTGTCCCCTTCTACTTCAAGTGTGTGTATGCGTACATGCATTGTGCATGTGTGTGTCAATTAATTTCAAATGCGTATATTGATCCCTGGGTTTGACCCATTGCAAACTTTCAGACTGGCTTTAGTACGACTCCATCTTCCCTCCTCCGCCACTTTCCCTCTCTATCTCTCTCTCTCCTTCAGCACTGCACTGCAAAATGCTTGAAGCATACCTTTACCCTCCCTGCCCCCACTAAAAAGCAGCCATTTATGTGAAAGCCTTGAGTCTTCCAACGGAGAATAATGTTCAGAAGTGATATCCACAGACTAGGGAAGTCCACTGCTCTGGAGTGCCAGGGGCCCAAATGACGGGGTGAGGAAGGACACATGTGGATGTTGACAAATATGTGGATCTGACATATGGAGAGCTATAAATTAACCCTAGTATACATAAATATTTCTGTTTGTTTTTATGTATAAAGTATGACTGCATGGTCAGAAGCTTGAGTCCAGCACCAAATATTGAATGGAGCCTTCACCTCTTTCTCTGAAAGTGAGATCTCGGCTCCTATTAACACAACCATTCATGTTTTTGCTGAAACACAGTGCACACACAAAGTATTGTTAGAATTACAAAATAATTCTTGTCAGAAACAAACTTAACACATTAGAATACCACAGATGTATGCACAGGTTTCTCTGTAGCCTTGCACAATACAGTAAAAACAGTTTGACTAAGAAAATAGTCAAAGTCTGTGTGTATGTACACGCATGCATTCGTGTGTGCACGTGTGTGTGTGAGAGAGAGAGAGAGAGAGAGAGAGAGAGAGAGAGAGAGAGAAAGAGAGAGAGGCAGACAGACAGACATTCGGACAAACAGACACAGAGGGGCAGAAACAGAAACAGTGACAGAGAGACCGAGACACAGAGACAGACAGAGAAACAGAGCGACAGAGAGAGCCACCGCAGTCAGATTCATTAGACAACTCGCATTCCATTCTGAAATCCTCAAGTGAATGGCTTTACTGCATACAGCAGATTGTACATTTTGTGGCATACAGGTATGGATTTTGTTTACTTTACAATATTAGGCATTGGATCAACAACCTGTGAATGCCGGGCACTGATGTACTACTGAACCACATCCAAAAGCACAAGATGGACTGTGACAGAGCCACACCGAGCACTTCCGCACCTCCTCAGCTTAACGTGATATCTAGGAACCCTCTGACTAGTGACCAATGTTCCCATCCACACATCTTGGTCCGTTCCAGACTGTCTTCACCCATCTCTCATGAGCAAGCTGCACTAACATGCGACCTCAGCACTCTATAGTTCCATCTGTGATCGCTTTGGTTCGTCTTCAGCCTTCACTTGACTCTGCAGCCTCGTCCTGCGGTGCTAGCCCCTCACCTACAGCATACTCAGGGTAGCTCTCACCCCTTCTGCCTCAGCTGTCATTGGTCCCAAGGAAACTGTCAGGGTTGCTGGGGAAGCTCAGAAATGTGGGGTTTTAGTCTCATGGCATCAGCAAGGCGCGAGGAAGCAGTCAAACGCCCCACCTCAGAGGAGCAGCTCTTCCGAGCATTCTTCATGGCTCTTCCCAAGTCCCCAGAGGATCTGCGTGCCACACTCCTGCGTGGTAGCCAGCCTAATGAAGCACATATTGTTGATTTTCTAGCTCCATCTTTAAGTTCTCCTCACTCTCTCGTGTACCTGGCACCTCTTCTGTAGCTCATCCCACAGGAATCCAATCATGACACACTTCTCCTGCAGGCTTTTATGTGTGTGGACATGTCAGCAAAGCTCTGTCTTCTCAACCCGAGTTCAACCAAGGTTCACTTACTCACCCATGACCTCATCCACCACTTGACCTCATAAGCTCACTTATCTCTATAAACACACATTCTCCATGAGTGTAGTGATTTTAAAACCAATTTATCAACCATGTCTCTAGCACCTAACTCACTAAACACACTAGCTAGTACACAGCAGGTACTCAGAAAACACGTCCTGAATAAGTTAAATTTTCAACTGCCTTACATACAAGCTCAGAATAAGGAATGCACAACTACGAAAAGAGCCCCTGGAAAACTAAGTGGCCACCAAATTTACATAGTAGTGAGTACCCACGATGGCCCATGAATCCACTGGGGTGGTCATGATACCCACACTCACCACGAGGGTTCCTGGAAACACAGAGGAGCATGAGATTCCAGGACAGCACAACGACAGAAGCAATGCAGCACACGGGCGCATCCACGAAGAAAAGGAAAGGGCCGTTACCTGGGCACTGGATGAAAGACCACTCGTAGTTCTTCTCTTTGGGGCACAGACTGGTGTCGAGGACCGCCTCGCTGTTGTGTGCTCCGCCAACTCTCACTGGTCCCCGGGAAGACCCTTCAGTGCAGTACCCTCTCCCCGTGTTACTGGGGTCGTTGCACCAGCCACAGCCAGGCTGCTCCAAGCACTGTCCACAGGTTCTTAATCCAGAACAATTTTGAGCTGCACGACAAAAGTATTTAAAAAAAAAGAACTTTTATTATCAAGCAGAATTGTATGCTTCAGGAAAATGTTATAAGAAGAAAGACATTAAAATGTCATCTGTGGTTAATAGAAATATTTTGCATAAATATTTAGCAGGCATGAACAATTCATCATACACATGTATATATGCGCACATAAATATGTTCACGTGTATACATAATACATGTCATGAACAAAGAGAAGATAAATTGAATTGGATGTTAAAAGGGAAAAGATGGTAACCATAACCCAGGACAAAGGAAAACAAGGCAGCACTTAAAGATTCCTGAATGTCTTCCCATAATGGGACATAGAGGAACTGACCCAGAGACCTGGTAATCGTCAGAAACTCAGCAGCAAAATGTCAGATCCAAGAACTCACTGAGGATTTTATTTATAGTGAGTTGTTTGGGGTCAAGAACCTTGAAGGCTGAGTTTTAGAAAATAGTAAGAGCCATCTCAAATCGTATTAAAAAATAAAATACAATATCCACTTATTTAACTTTCTAGACAGGAAATTCAAAGACATGGTTGTTTTCCTTTCCAAAGTTAAATCTTCTTGGGCCCTTGGAACACACAGCAATAAACAGAAGGCCTCCATCAAACCCCCCCCCCACACACACACACACACTTAGAGCTTGGGAAACCCTCAGGAGAGGAGGGGGAAAGAGTGTCAGAGCCAGAGAGGACAGAGGACACCAGATCAAGTCCCTCTGAATCAACTAAGCAGGATCCACATGAACTCACAGAAACTGAAGCAGCCAGCACAGGGCCCACATGGGTCTGCATGGGTCCTCTGCACATACAGTACAGCTTTCCACTTAGTATGTACACAGGACTACAGAGTGTGTGAACAAGGGGTTTCTGTGCCTTGTGCCTGCTCTTAAGGCTCTTTACCTTCTGCTGGGCTGACTTATCCAGCCTGGATGTAATGGATTTTGTTTTATCATATTCTATTTTGTCGTGTTTGGTTGTGATCTCATAGAAGTCTGTTCTTTTCTAATGAGAAGCAGGAAGGGAGTAGATGGGAGGGGGGGATAGGAAGGACGGAGGAACTGGGAGGAGTAAAGGATGCAGAAACCGTAGTCAGGATAACTGTATGGAAAAGAAACTACTCAATAAAGGGAAGAAGCTGCATCCTGCCAATACACAGTTGATGTGGGAGTGTCATATATCAATCTGTTGATTTCATTGGTTAAGCAATAAAGAAACTGCTTGGCCCTGTGGGTGGAGTAAACAGAACAAAATGCTGGGAGGAAGAGGAAGTGAGGTCAGTCTCGACAGCTCTCCTCTCTGGAGCAGACGCCTGAGAGAGACGCCATGCCCTGCTCCCGGGATGAAGCTCCGACCCAGGATGGACATAGGCTAGAATCTTCCCGGTAAGCGCACCTTGGGGTGCTACACACAGATGATTAGAAATGGGCTAAATTAATATGTGAGAATTAGCCTAGAAGAGAATGGGCCAAGCAGTGTTTAAATGAATACAGTTTGTGTGTTGTTATTTCGGGGCATAAGCTAGCCAGGTGGCTGGGGTGCCAGGGATGCAGCCCCGCCGCTCTTATTACTAGACACAGTCATCAGTGGCAGTCCCTTTAGCAGACACGTAGGAACTCAACACGTCATGCACTACCACATTCCCCATGGTTCCCTTGATCTGAAGTATTTTCCTTCTGTGACTATGGGTAGTTCCCATATTTATTGACAGTTATGATGATTGTCTTCAAAACTGTACTGGTTGACTATGAAGCCAATGAGAAATAATAAAAACTATCAAACCTTATATAGGAGCAATTATGTACTGTGATATTCCAATCAAAACTGACCTGTGATGAATAAAACTGACTGCATCACACCCAAGATAGCTCACACTGCTTACAATCTAAATGTAGTCCCCAGGAAAAGAAATTCACCTTAGAATTATCTTTTAAGGGAAATATAAATAAGATGGCCTTAAGATATACTTTAGATCAATTAAACTACTCTCAGTCCAATATTCCTGCTAAGACTTCCTAGACAAGTGGGGAACTCTTGGATTAAATAATCCCACACTTCTGCACTGAGGAACAAACTCAGTCTACTTTTATTTTTCAAGTAGATTTTTCAGCATTAAGAACGGTTGATAAAATGCCATGTCCAGAGAAGTATTCTAGTCCTTAGATGTCATTTAAAAACAAAATTCTGAAGTGAGGTGGCACAGCTTTGGCTCTGTCTAACACAGAGTGTTAGATTTACTGGGAATCCATCGTTCGGTGTGTAATGGTGACTCGGAACTAAGAATCTATGTTTTCTTCTTTTTCTTACAAAAGATGGTATTAAGTGAAAACTTATATTCATTGTGCTGCTTTATTATACAAAATATAAAAGCTTGGCCTTGTTGACCATGTCCTTTGCTTTACAGAAGCTTCTCAGTTTCAGGAGGTCCCATTTATTATTTCTCTCAGTAACTGTGCTGCTGAGGTTATATTTAGGAAGTGGTCTCCTGTACCAATGTGTTCAAGTGTACTTCCCACTTTCTCTTCTATGAGGTTCAGTGTGAGTTGGCTTTATGTTAAGTTCTTTGATCCATTTGGACTTGAGTTTTCTGCATGGTGATATGGATCTATTTTCCTTCTTCCACATGTTGATATCCAGTTATGCCAGCACCATTTGTTGAACATGCTTTCATTTTTCCATCTTATAATTTTTGCTTCTTTGACTGTTCATAGGTGTGTGGATTGATATCCAAGTCTTTGATTAGATTCCACTGGTCTGCTTCTCTGTTTGATGCCAATACAAGGCTGCTTTCAGTACTGTAGCTTTGTAGAGAGTTTGAAGTTAAGGATTGTGATGCCTCCAGAAGTTTCTTTACTGTACAGGATTGTTTGGGCTATCCTGGCTTTTTGCTCATATGAAGTTCAGTAAGATTCGTTCCAGGTCTGTGAAGAATTTTGCTGGGATTTTGATGGGCATTGCATTAAATCAGTAAATTGCTTTTGGTAATATTGCCATTTTTACTATGTTAATTCTACCTACCCAAGAGCATGGGAGATCTTTCCATTTTCTGGTGTCCTCTTGAATTTATTTCTTCAAAGATTTAAATTTCTTGTCCTACAGGTATTCCACTTGTTTGGTTAGAGTTACTCTGAGATATTTTATGTTATGTATGACTATTGTTAAGAGTGATGTTTTTCTGATTTCTTTCTCAGCCTATTTACCATCTGTGTACAGGAAGGCTCAAGATTTTTTGAGTTAATCTTGTATCCTGCTATATTACTGAAGGTGTTTATGAGTTGTAGAAGTTCCTTGGTAGAATTTTTGAGGACGCTTATATAAACTATCATATCATCAGTAAATAGTGAGATTCTGACTTCTTCTTTTCTGATTTGCATCCCCTTGATGTCCCTTTGTTGTCTTAGTGCTCTAGCTAGAATGTCAAGCACTATACTGAACAGATATGGAGAGAGTGGACAACCTTGTCTTGTTCCTAATTTCAGTGGAATCGCTGTGAATTTCTCTCCATTTAGTTTGATGTTAGCTGTTGGCTTGCTGTATATAGATTTTATTATGTGTAGGTATGTTCCTTGTATCCCTGCTCTCTCCAAGACCTTTATCATGAAGGGATGCTATATTTCCAGAATCTAATGAGATGATCATGTGTTTTTTTTTCCTTTTTCAGTTTGTTTATATGGTGGACTACATTGACAGATTTTCATATGTTGAACCATCCCTACATCTCTGGGATAAAGCTTACTTAGTCATGTGGATGATTTTTCTGATGTGTTCTTGGATTCAGTTTGCCAGTATTTTATTGAGTATTTTTGCATTCATGTTCATGAGTTAGATTGGTTTGTAATTCTCTTTCTTAGTAATATTTTTGTGTTATTTACATTTCAAGGTGATTGTAATCTCATAAAAAATAGTTTGGCAATGCTCCTTTTGTTTCTATTGTGTAGAACAATTTGAGGACTATTGTTATTAGTTCTTCTTTGAAAATTCTACACTGAAACCATCTGGTCCTGAACTTTTTTTGGTCAGGACACTTTTGATGACTGTTTCTCTTTCTTCAGTAGTTATAGGTCTGTTTAATTTGCTTATCTGGTCTTGATTTAATTTTGGTAAGTGATATTATCTAGAAAGTTGCCCATTTCCTTTAAGTTTTCCAATTTTGTGGAGTATAGCTTTTTGAAGTATGACCTGATGATCCTCTTTATTTCTTCCATGTCTGTTGTTATGTCCCACTTTTCATTTCTGATTTTGTTAATTTGGATATTCTCTCTGCCTTTTGGTTAGTTTGGTTAAAGGTTTGTTCATTTTGTTGATTTTCTCGAAGAACCAATTCTGTCTCATTGATTCACTGTATTGTTTTCTTTGTTTCTATTTTGTTGATTTCAGCTCTCAGTTAGATTGTTTCCTGCCCTCTGGTCCTCCTGGGTTATTTTGCTTCTTTTTGTTCTAGAGTTTTTAGGTGTTCTGTTAACTTACTAGTGCAGGGTTTTTCCAGCTTCTCTATGTAGGCATTTAGTACTATGAACTTTCCTCTTAACGCTGTTTTCATTGTGTCCCATAAATTTGGGTATGCTCTGTGGTCATTTTCATTGAATTGTAGAAAGTCTCATTTCTTTTTTTATTTCTTCCTTTACCTATTGGTGATTCAGGTGAGCACTGTTTAATTTCCATGTGTTTGTGAGCTTTCTGAAATTAGTGTTGCTCTTGAATTCTAATTTTAAGCCTTGGTGATCTGATAAGATACATGGGGTTATTCCAATTTCTTGGTATCTATTGAGGTTCGCTTTGTTACCTAGTATGTGGTCATTTTTTGAGAAGGTTCAGTGAGGTGCTGAGAAGAAGGTATATTCTTTTATGTTCATATGGAATATTCTACAGATTCCTGTTACATCCATTAGAGTCAGAACATCTGTTAGTTCCCTTAGTTCTCTGTTAAATTTCTGTCTTATAGCTAGATCTTGAGGTGGAACAACCCCCATCTTCCTGAGGTAGAGCCACACAAAATCCCATAGTGTCTGCACGAATCCGCACTCCTACCAGGAATGTGTGTGCTCCCTTTGCTCCACGGTCTCATCAGCATGAGCGGTCACTTGTTCTATTGAACAGAGCCATTCTGATCTTACTTTCAGGATTAGATGAAATCTCGGAGTAATTCTGACTTGCATTTCCCTGATAGATAAGGATGTTGAACATTAAAGTGTTTCTCTGCCATTTGGATTTACTTTTTATAATTCTGTTTAAATCTGTACCCCAGTTTGTAATTGGATTATTTTCTTGATATCTAGCATTTTTACTTCATTATAAATTTTAGATATTAACCCTCTGTTAGATGTGTAGTTGCTAAAAGTCTTTTCCTATTCTGGAGGCTGCTTTTTCTGAATGAGTGTCCTCTGCCATGCAGAAGCATTTCCGTTTCAGGAAGTTCCATTTATTGATCGCTGATCTTAGTGCCTGTGCTATCAGTGTTCTGTTCAGAAACTCTTTTCCTGTGCCATTAAACTCAAGGCTATTCCCCACTCTTTCTTCTGTCAGATTCAGTGCATCTGGTTTTATGTTGAGGTATTTGCTCCACTTAGAGCTGGGTTTGTATAGAGTGATAAGTACGGGTCTATCTGCACTCTTCTACACCCAGTATTGACAAGCACCATGTTAAAGATGCTGTCTTTTGTACAGGATATATTTCTAGCTTCTTTATCAGAAAACAAGTGCCCGTAGAGGTGGGAAATTACATCTGTGTCTTCAGTTTGATTCCATGGATCATATGGCTGCTTTTGTGCCAATACTATTCTGTTTTTATTACTTTATCTTTGTAATACATCTTGAAATTGGGAATGATGATACTTCTATCAATTCTTTTATCACTCAGAATTTTTTTAGATATCTTGGGGTTTTTTTGTATTTACAAATGAAGCTGAAAACTGTCTTTCAAGATCTGTGGAAAACTGTCTTGAAATTTCGATGGGAATTGCACTGAATCAATAAATTGTTTTTGGCAGTATGATCATTTCTACTATACTAATCCTACCAACCTTGAGGATGGAAGGTCTTTCCATCTTCTAATATCTTCTTCAGTGTGTTTCACTGTCTTAAAGTTTTTATCATACAAGTCTTTAATTTACTTGGTTAGTTACCCCAAAGTTATTTTATATTTCTTGAGGCTATTGTGAAAGGTGTTGTTTCTTTGATTTCTTTATCAGTCTGTCAGTCATTTGTATGGAGAGAGACTGCACTACTGATTGATGTGAGTTAATTTTGTATCTAAATATTTTGATAAAAGTGTTTATCATCTGTAGGAGTTTCCCAGTGAATTTTTTAGGATCACTTATATAAACTACCATATGATCTGTAAATAAAGATACTTTAACTTCTTCCCTTCCAATTATTTCCTCATTATTCCCTTCAGTAATCTTATTGTTTTAGCTAAGACTTCAAGCACTATATTGAGGATAGATAGACAGATAGATAGATCAAAGGATCATCTCAAATATATATATATATATATATATATATATATATGTGTGTGTGTGTGTGTGTGTGTGTGTGTTGTCTTTCAGTTTGTTTATGTGGTGGATTATATTTATCATGCATGCACAGGGTTTGCACAGGTCTTAACTACGTTCCCTGTGTATACAGCACTGTTTCCAGTTTATTTTTTATGGGATTCCTGAGTGTATGAGCAAATGGGTCTCTGGTTCTTGTCCCTTCTCTTGTGCTCTTTTCCTTCTGTTTATTTTGTTCAATTATGAGATGTTAGTCTGTATTATATCATATCATATCATATCATATTATTATCCCTTAGATGTCTGTTTATTTGCTAATGAGAGACAGAAAGGGGGTGGATCTAGATGGGAGGGGAAGTAGAGAGCAAGTGGGAGGAGTAGATGGAAGGGACGTATAAAAAAATGTGAGGAAAAAATCTATTTTCAATAAAACGAAAAAGATGTCAGGCAGTGGTGGTCCCAACACTCTGAAGGCAGAGTTCGAGGCCAGACTGGTCTACAGAGTGAGTTTTGGGGCAGTCAGGGCTATGCCTCAAACCCTGTTTGGAAAGGGAAAGGAAAAAAAGAACGGCCCCCATGGGCTCATATTTTTGAACGCTTGGTTCCTTGGACCCATTCTTCCAGGGAAGCCCGCCTGTGCAATCTCTAACCTTCCCCCAGCTGCCATCTACCAGTTCCCACCCCTCCCATCCACAAGAGTGCTCACCACACCCTTAACAAAGCAGTGCGGCTCACAGCGCGACAGTGACCGACAGCCTTGGAAAATGCCTACTAGAAGCTGATGTCGAAAAGTAATTAGACAAATAAAAGTGAGAACCGTATAAACAACTGCTGTAGACTCTTCGGGAGTATCAGTCACAGAAGAAAAGCAGGGAGGGGATGAAAAGTGTGACAAGGAAACCTAAAGACACCAGAGCCCTGGAGGAAAGAACCATCGGGAAACTGGCGGTTGTACATTACGCTCAGGATTCAGGAGATGCATCACACCTAGTGGCAAAATGGTAATATCACAGCAAATTCAAAATGAAGACACGGTGAAAATCAGAGGCTGATAGCACAATAGACTTTAGGCCTCTTCTTGATAGTGTGTTTCCTATTATTTTAAGTGCCCTCGAAGGTCAAATTTCTTTCCACCTATACTCACGGGAGCAGGTGGCCGTCTGCCACTCCAGACACTGCCCGTACGGGAAGGAGATGATGTAGGCGTTGGAGTCCACGCACCGCTCTGTGCTGCTGCACCACATGCACTCCATGCCGTTGCTGGTGCAGTTGGAGCAAGAGGTGCGCAGGGAGCACGGCTTCTTGCATGGCCTTGCGTTTTGATTTGGACTGACTGGAATAAATCAATAACTGCAATTATTCCTTTTGGTAACTTCATTTTTAAAGCTAATCTCTACTTTTCATGTGTATGGGTGTTGTGCCTCATGCACAGATGCCACCACAGGTATGCCTGGTGCCTGTAGAAGCCAAAGGAAGAGGGCATCAGAGTCCCCTGGACCTGCTGTGATAGAGGGTGACAAGCTGCCGGGTGGGTTCTGAGTATCAAATCTGGGTCCTCTGGAAAAGCAGCCAGTGTTCTGATCCAATCAGCCTCCTCTTCACGCCTCTGGGAATTTTATTTGAACACAAATGCTTGGGTTTTGTCTGCTTTTCTATTTTTTAAAAGAGTCAGTTGAGCAGACTGAAACATCATATAAAAAAATGATTAAAAAGTTGATATGTGAACTAATTTAGTACTGGATTTGAAACCACATAATCCCTTTATTTTTAGTTCTTTATAATGTGTACAGTTTTTGAAATTGCAAGCAGTCCTCTAATGTGAGTCTCCTTTCTATCGTCTCAACAATGCATAGCCAGACTCCCTTACGCAGCCAGTTTCCCCATAAACGTTCCATATCTTAATGAAGCAAATGTCCTCTGACTGTGTCTTCGGTATGAACAAATGAAAATATACAACTTACAATAAAATCATAACACAAAAATACAGAATTTATCATACAAATAAGGATGATGGTCATTTTCACAAATAAAATTGCAAGTATTGGTGTGCTGTTAAAAACCTGGAAAGCGCACTGCCAGCAGGGGACGCAGCGTGGCGCAATTGCTGCGGGAAAGCGAAGCAAATCTTCAAAATATTAAACCTAGAACTTTTAGATGATAATTAAATCTACCTTCACAAAGTACTTAAAGAAGTGAAATCATGGGCCATTCATAGAACCGTCGCTCTAAATGGCCAAAAAGTAAAGATATTTGTATGCTCACAGTCAGAGCAACTTCATGCTACACAGCTAAAAGGAACCAGAGAACGAACAGAAAAATAAAATGTGAGCTGTAAATACCAGCATCCATCACGCATCAACAAACTCTGAAGACATTTTCCTAAGGGGACAGGGAACTCACAGAGGATGAAGCAGTGAGACTCCAAACATGAAATACCCAAAGTATCAAGTTCATTGAAATAGTGCGATGCTGATTCCCAGGGGTCTCAAATGGTAAGAAATGTTTTGTTTGAAATAATAAAGAGTTAGGCGGGGCGGTGGTGGTGCCCACATTTAATCACAGCACGAGTGAGATCCAGGACTGCCAGGGTTACACTGACAAACCCTGTCTCAACAAACCAAATAGTTTTAATTTTGCAAATAAACTAAGTTTTACAGAAATAGTAGTGATGGCTGCCAAACAATGGGACACACTTAATACCACGTAACTATACACTTACAGTTGATTAAAACAGCAAACTGTCATAAAATGTACATAGCCGCAATAAAAACGCGACTCTTTAAAAAGAAAAGCATTCAAACACTTCTTATTCACTTAAGAAAATCAATTTCTAAAGAAGTAACGAAAGTATTTCTTTTTAGATAACTGAAACAATACAGTTCTAAGATTAAAAATTACTCAGTCATTAATCTTAAAGACGAGTCTTTCCTTCAAACAATATTATGATAAAAGCAAAAGACCAACGTATTCAGTTCATTGCGAAACTGTGAGCACAACCATGTGTTCATGAGAACACCATAACAATCAAGACAGAAAGGGTCACAGACAGTGCAGCGGGCTGGAGAGGAGGCTCGCAGCTGAGAGCACTTGATGTCCATGCAGATGAGGATGCTTCCCAGAACCCACATAGGATAGAGCCATCTGAAACTCCAGTTCCAGGGGATTGGACCCTCTCTACTAACATCCACACAGAGGCTCACAGCCATCTGAAACTCCAGTTCCAGGGGATCGGACCCTCTCTATTGACATCCACAGGAACCCACACAGAGGCTCACAGCCCTCTGAAACTCCAGTTCCAGGGGATCGGATCCTCTCTACTGACCTCCACAGGTATGCATATGGTACACGGACATATATGCAAGCAAAACACTTATCCACAAAGCAGAGTAAATAAATTATTAAAATGTTTGTAAAAGTATAAGAAAATTTTAAGAAAATATGCAAAATTAAACATTTCCCCGTTACAAGTTAATGCTAAGCTCAGTAAAAAAACAACTTGGGTATAGAAATAAACATTGGTGTGAGGGATGAATATGACAAAAGGCTCAACAAGTCCCCGCACTCTGGAGCGGGAGCCTGGGCAGCAGTCTGGAGAGAACACAGAAGGCGGTGCAGTTACTTACCCACGGGCTTTTCGCAGACGAGGCCATCCGCCATAGACGTACAAGGGTTCGCTTTCAGCCCTGCCACTGCGGCCCTCTCTAGATAAGCACAGAATCCGGAATCATTTGGTTCTCCAGGAAGCCACTGCAGCGTTGTGTTTGTAAAGGGAGACATGTCCTCCCATCCCCAGTAGGAAATGTTGATCTTGCGTAAGCCTACCCATGGTGACACTTTCTGTGAACAACAGGGCGCAGGCATGGAAAGTGTCAGAAGTGAGACTACTACACGACACTGCCCAACAAGCAGGTCACTATCATTAAATACACATGTGAGGACCCTAAAGATACCTTCCTAATCCCTTTTACTTCCTATAGAGATTTCAGGATCATCTAGAGGAAGACAGATCACAGGACTGTTTTGAGAGCACTGGACTTTCAGCTTAGCTATAGCTTGGATGATTGTTGTCAGCCTTGCTTATTTTTCCGCTCCTATAAAATGGGGATGTAGACTGTCCTTAACCCCTGCATTCAGGAGGCAAAGGCAGGCTGGTCTTCATAGAGAGGTCCAGGCCAGCTATGGGTGCACAGCGAAATCCTACCTCAGATAGATAGATAGATAGATAGATAGATAGATAGATAGATAGATAGATGATAGATAGACAGATGATAGAAAGATTGATGATAGAGAGGTGATAGAAAGATAGATTAGATAGGTAGGTAGGTAGGTAGGTAGGTAGATAGATGGAGGTAGATGGATGGATTAGATAAACACGTAGATAGATGATAGATGGATAGATGGACGGATGGATATACAGACAGCTGATATAGATAGATGATAGATAGATAGATAGATAGATAGATAGATAGATAGATAGGCAGATGATAGAGATGATAGATAGATGATGGATGGGTAGATGGATGGATGGATGGATGGATACATACATATATAATAGAGATAGATAGGTTGGATAAATAGATAGGTAGATAGACAGACAGACAGATAAATAGATGATAGAGAGAGAGAAAGAGAGATAAAAACCCACCAAACTAAAGGGGAGAAATATCAATGTTTAACATATCACTGCTGCTATAACTAATACTATCACATTTAATCAGGTTTTATCAGTTACAGATTTAAGAACTACAGATAAATCCAAAATCTGCACTTTTCAGAAACAAAAAAACAAAATATGTATGGATTCTAAATAAAAAGCTCACAGGAACCCCCAGATGGGATTTCCTCACTATTCAAACTTTAATAACATTTTGGGAAAACTGACATCATCTTTGTCATAGACAAAGTTTGATGACCACATTAAAAAACTGATAAATGCAAGTTGACAAAAGCCACTATTCTTAATTAACTATTTTAATAGCCTCAGTGATAATCAAATTAGCATAAACTCAAAATTGGTTCTATATTTATATAACCTACTTTAATCATTATTTAAAAGCAAAAATATATTCTAAACCAAGTCCCACTGTTCTATTAGATTATAGAAACTTCTATTTAATATATCTTCTTAGTAATAAATTACTAAGCTACTTAATAATCACTATGACGGAAAATTGCTTCAAAGAATCATTCTTAATTCTTTTACATATGCAACATAATAATAGAGAAAAATATCACTACATCTTATTTCTAACAACATAAATAAAATATTTATACATGGCATTCATGTTGTACAAAAAAAATTTCTCAGGGAGGTTAAGCTAGCCACAGACATTTTTTGTTTGTTTGGTTGGTTGGTTTTGTTTTTGTTTTTTTTTTTTTTTGCTTTGTTTTCTTTCAAGGCAGAGTTTCTCTGTTAAGCAGTCCTTGCAAACCTTTAAATTTTTAAGTGTATAAATATAATGAATTACAAATTGCAAATACTCAATAGATATTTCTTGGATAAAATTAAAATACCTTATGAATTTTCCTTTTGACAATATGTCATATTGCCAAAAGTGTATAGTATATACAGCAATTTGATAAAGTTCTTAGAACAGAAATTATTTTATACTATCTAGCATAATGCTGAGACAGAGGTAGGGTTAACAGTGCTTCTGATTATAAAATTATGCATGATACTCCACATTAGAATTATATGTTTGACACATTTGTTCTAAGAGATATTTAGATAACAAAAATCTGCCTTTTAAATCATGCTTTATAATAGCACCAGTCAGATAATCAATCCAACATAGATATTTCACATTAAAATGTGCTCCGTGTCATAGGAACGCATCCTCGACTTCCTATCTACAGCAAAGAAAAGCCATTTAAAATGAAATATTACTCCCTAACTCATCATGATAAGAATCTGAAAGAAAAGGAAGAGAAGCAAAAATGTGATAAAACATTTAATGTAACTATTGCCCAGTAAATGAGCCAGACGGGCAGCTGAAAGTGAAAGATAAATTACTATGTTATGAAAATTTCCTGCACCACTCCATAAATCATCGTAACATTTCATTAGCCATTTCCGATAAGTAAATGATCATTTGACCCAAGATATCTCTTTAAAGTGAATGAATTCGCCAATCTTTATTGGCCAAGGAAGGGTTATCTTAAGCCTGTGCGCCGGCAATGACTCAGGATATAATTCATTTTATATAAAGATGTGCCAAATGAAATGTCACCTTCAAGTTTCCACTTTGAAATCCTATGAAAAGTTGTTTCTGAGAAAACAAAATATTTTTATTATGTGACTCAGCAACCCAGACAATCTGAGTTTAATGCCCACTCCTTATGGATTATCATAACAGACAGCAGAAATCAGAAGCTACAAGAAGTCCTAAAATATAGAAATCAAATGACCAGATTTGTGGCGATTTTGTAACAGCCAAAAATAACTGATGTTAAACACAGGAAAATCAGCAGAGCTCTAAGGACAAATTCCTATGGTCCTGAAATTCAAACACGTGAGTGCGAATCAGATGCTCATGGGTGACGGGATCCCAGCAGCACTGACCTTCATGTGCGAGTGGTAAACCGTCGAGTGCATGGACTGCGAAAGAGAAGCCCCTAACATCACAAGAAAAACACAGCTCTCATCTGGACGTCCCATACATTTACCATAAAACTTTACTTTAAAAGACTGTTACCGTTTTCTAAGTCACAAATATCGAAACGTCTCCCCAGCCTGCTAGCACACACAGTGTGCAAACCATGCGTCATGCTGGAAGCTCTTCAAGACAACAGCACAACCTGTAGGGTCTCTCCGACTTCCTTATAAATGTCTCCAAGGCGGCGAAGGCTGCCTAGGGCCTTTCTCCCGGACCACTTCATAAGCTCAGGCTAGGACTAGCTGTCCCTCCTGATCTTCACGAAGCACCCCGAGTGCACCTACCACTGCATCCCCACACTCAAGAACAACTGCTCTTGTGTCTTTCTGTACTGCGCCGTCTGAGAAGAGGACCTTACTGCATCTCTGGGTTTCATACAGCAGTGGACTACCCAGTACAACAGCCGGTTTTCATGTGTTTAATTAGAAAGTGTCTGTCCATCCTTCAGATAGACATTTACTTTTTTTTTTTTTTTTTTTTTTTTTGGTTTTTTCGAGACAAGGTTCTCTGTGGTTTTGGAGCCTGTCCTGGAACTAGCTCTTGTAGACCAGGCTGGTCTCGAACTCACAGAGATCCGCCTGCCTCTGCCTCCCGAGTGTATTTTTTTAATTTAAATTTATTTATTTATTTATTAAGGATTTCTGCCTCGTCCCCGCAACCGCTTCCCATTTCCCTCCCCCTCCCCCGATCAAGTCCCCCTCCCTCATCTGCTCGAAGAGCAATCAGGGTTCCCTGACCTGTGGGAAGCCCAAGGACTGCCCACCTCTATCCAGGTCTCGTAAGGTGAGCATCCAAACTGCCTAGGCTCTCACAAAGCCAGTACGTGCAGTAGGATCAAAAACCCACTGCAATTGTTCTTGAATTCTCAGTATTCCTCATTGTCCGCTATGTTCAGCTAGTCCGGATTTATCCCATGCTTTTTCAGACCTAGGCCAGCTGGCCTTGGTGAGATTCCAATAGAACATCCCCATTTTAAAAGCCAAAGAAGAAGAAATCATTTCTACGGATCGCGAACCACTGCATACATCCGTCATGTAAAGGGCTCACCTGCTGTGTGTACTTCTGTATTTCATCCAACACAAACTCTACCTCCTTAGAAGTAGTCAGAGAAGCGAGGTTTCCACTGAGATTATAGCAATAAAGCTTCGCATTGTCGTAACTTTCTCTACTGGAGTTGATTCGAAGACAGGCATCCCCAACATGATTCCAGCCTTCCCCACAAAGGTGAGCTAGGTAAAGGAAAAAGAACTGCATCTTAATTTCTCATACAAAAGTACGATTTCTATCCATCCATTAGCGCATCTTACCTTAGGGATGTCAGGGGACCTCACTTGAAACATCAGGGATTTCAGGGATTTGGAGACACATCCCCTGTAGACTGTTTACATAGATGTCCCAATAATGTCCTCAAACAAAGTGAAGATGTCCTACTTCACAGAGACCCCTATCTGTGGTGAGACTTCAATCTATTATTCTAAATCAATACATTTATTTTTAAAACATTTAAATAAATTTATGTAATGGTGTAGGAAGATCTGGGTGACCCTCGTGGTTTTTCACCGGAGAATGGATAGAAACAGTGGACACGGAGAATGGAGGGAAACAGTGGACACGGAGAATGGAGGGAAACAGTGGACATGGAGAATGGAGGGAAACAGTGGACACAGAGAATGGAGGGAAACAGTGGACACAGAGAATGGAGGGAAACGGTGGACACGGAGAATGGAGGGAAACGGGACACGGAGAATGGAGGGAAACGGGACACGGAGAATGGAGGGAAACAGTGGACATGGAGAATGGAGGGAAACAGTGGACACGGAGAATGGAGGGAAACAGTGGACACGGAGAATGGAGGGAAACAGTGGACATGGAGAATGGAGGGAAACAGTGGAAACGGAGAATGGAGGGAAACAGTGGACACGGAGAATGGAGGGAAACAGTGGACACGGAGAATGGAGGGAAACAGTGGACACGGAGAATGGGGGAAACAGTGGACACGGAGAATGGAGGGAAACAGTGGACATGGAGAATGGAGGGAAACGGTGGAAACGGAGAATGGAGGGAAACAGTGGACACGGAGAATGGAGGGAAACAGTGGACATGGAGAATGGAGGGAAACAGTGGACATGGAGAATGGAGGGAAACAGTGGACACGGAGAATGGAGGGAAACAGTGGACACAGAGAATGGAGGGAAACAGTGGACACAGAGAATGGAGGGAAACGGTGGACACGGAGAATGGAGGGAAATGGGACACGGAGAATGGAGGGAAACAGTGGACACGGAGAATGGAGGGAAACAGTGGACACGGAGAATGGAGGGAAACAGTGGACACGGAGAATGGAGGGAAACAGTGGACACGGAGAATGGAGGGAAACAGTGGACACGGAGAATGGAGGGAAACGGTGGACACGGAGAATGGAGGGAAACGGTGGACACAGAGAATGGAGGGAAACAGTGGACACGGAGAATGGAGGGAAACAGTGGACACGGAGAATGGAGGGAAACAGTGGACATGGAGAATGGAGGGAAACAGTGGACACGGAGAATGGGGGAAACAGTGGACACGGAGAATGGAGGGAAACAGTGGACACGGAGAATGGAGGGAAACAGTGGAAACGGAGAATGGAGGGAAACAGTGGACACGGAGAATGGAGGGAAACAGTGGACACGGAGAATGGAGGGAAACAGTGGACATGGAGAATGGAGGGAAACAGTGGACACGGAGAATGGAGGGAAACAGTGGACATGGAGAATGGAGGGAAACAGTGGACACAGAGAATGGAGGGAAACAGTGGACATGGAGAATGGAGGGAAACAGTGGACACGGAGAATGAGGGAAACAGTGGACACGGAGAATGGAGGGAAACGGGACACGGAGAATGGTGACACAGAGAATGGTCACAGAGAAATAGGGGACACAGCCATCAGTTTTAAATATGATAAGGAAGAAACATTAATTTTAGCTTCTTCAGTGTGGGACGTGGGTGTCTTTGCCACGTTTTTCTATGCCCTACATACTTACTTTTTCATAATTAAATCAGGGTGGGGATAAAACTTAATATAAGGGATTTATTTTTATTTCACAAATCAAATTTAAAGCAAACTAGTTTTGTAGCTTTGTTTTAGCTTTTTACAAATCTCTCTAGTGAGACATAATGACACTTTTTTCATATCTTCAGCCAGATGAGACTGTGTACTAACTGAAGAAGACGTCTTACAAGAACTCTCATGTCTGCTTCTACAGACAGGCGACCGCTCCTGATGCCTGCGGCCATGCCTTCCCTGCTGTTATGGACTGACAACCTTTGGAACCATGAGACAAAACAAATCATCCTCCTCCTCAAGCTGCCCTTGGCTGTGGTATTCTGTCTTAGAAGCAGACAACTAATCCAAGTTCTTTTTGCTTAGAAAAAACTAGGGTGGCCTTAGGTGTATAGGTAAAGAAAACAGGTCTATAAATTAAATAATTACTGATAATAAGTCAAACAAATATTTTTAAAAAAAAAAATTGAGATATAATTTAGCCATTAATAAAAGGCAAAAACAATTTTTCATATTAATGAGACAGACATTAGGTTGTTTTTACATAAAGAATTAAATCTTTACTGAATATCTGATCTATTGGGACACAACATCTTCCATGTTTTTCGGCATTAACAGCTATTTTAATCTTGCAATCGTCATTGTTGAGAACATCACTTCTCATAATTATGGAGAACAAAATGTCAGAAAGATGTTTAAGGACAATTCAGAAATTGTTACAAATTCTGTTCTAATATCAAAGTTTATTGAAAACTTCTTATGAAAAGCCAGCAATTCAAACAGCAATTTTAAATGGAGCATTCAAACACAATACAATGAAAAGAAATACTAATTTACAACTGACATGCTGAGAAATTACAATGGACAAATGTTTAAAAGACTGTAATTAAATCATTATGTTTCTGTTAGAGAACTCTGTACATTCAATAGAAACAGTACGGTTTATAACACACAACGATCCTGATTCTGAGCACAGCGTCTCACAGAGCATCTCTGGCAACACACGCTAGCATGTACAGGCAAAGCGAACATGGTTGTGTTCAGAACCCGGCTGCCATGAAGTTACAGGATGCAATAAAGATGTTGCCAAAAACATTTCAGATTCATCAAGCATTTGTTTTCTAACAAATTTTGGTTGCCCGGTACTCAAAAAACGTTTACTTGCCAAATTTTCTAAACCCCATTATAACCAATGTGACCCAATAAGGAATAATAAACTAGAGTTTAAGAAGCTGGACTTCATGGCCTTAGAAGAACCCACACTTGTTGGGGAATATTATTTTCAGGTGTGTGACTTTTGCTCTTGCTGGTAACTCTGTGAAGCTGTGATACTGTGCCTGTCTAAAATACCTGATGGTCCTAAAAGAGCTTAACAGCCAATAGCGAGGCAGGAGCAAGGATGGGCAGGGCTGGCAGGCAGAGAAGATAAATAGACAGAGAAATCTGGGAGGAGAGAAAGAGGAGCGAGGAGAGAACAAGGAGAGGAGGAGGTCAGGGAGCAGTCACTCAGCCACCCAGTCAGCCGTGAAGAAGTAAAGAAAGGTATACAGAAATATAGGAAGATAAGAGTCCTCAAGTAAAAGGTAGTCAGGATTATATGAGTTAAGAAAAGCTGGCAAGAAACAAGCTGAGCTATGGCCGGGCATTCATAAGTAAGAATAAGCTTCTGTGTGTGATTTATTTGGGAGCTTGCTGGTGGGCCCCTCATAAAGAAAGAAAGAGTAAAATATTCCACAACATTCAGGCATTCCATCGTGGGGCTCGAAAATCCATCTAAAGCCGAGAAAACTGAAAAAAATAAGGCTCCTTTAATAGTTCATGCCCTACTGGCGAGCCCTTGAGCAGCTGGTACTTGTAGTGCAGACAAAAACGAATTAAAAATGCCCGCCACAGCACAAGCATTGGCATTCTAGAAGGGTTTAATGCAGTTCTCAGTCAGGAACCTCCAACCAGGCAGTAAGCTTTAGACTTGGTTTTCGAACCCCCCCCCCGCCCCCCCCCCCCCGCCCACTCGAGAGTGGGTGGAATCAGCCTAAAGAGCACTTAGAGGATCCAAGTGTAGGTAGGTTAGCACTCTAAAGTTTATTCCTGTGGTCAAAAAAGGTTGAGATAGGAGTCAAAGAGGTGCAGATGAGAAAACCTCTAAATAGGTTCCGGTGTGTTTTACAATGTGTGAGGCTTAAGAAATAAAGAAAATGGGTAGAGACCATCACAGAAAGAAACGAACTGGTTAAAAATAATAAAGTCTTTAAAGAGACAGTAAAAGTAATGTAAAAGAGAAAAGCCACCTAAAGATGGGAAACACAGGGAGTCTGAATGCTGTATAGTATTGTGCTGATTTTCAATTTTTGATTGCTAAAAAGCAAAGGACAGCTACTAAGAGACCTGGAATTGAAAGAGGGACCGTAGAAATAAACCAGCCTGTATACTTTAAGAATGCCTAAACTTAAAACTAAAGTCAATTGTGTTACACTGTATATATTTTTTACTCTTGTTTGAAAGACTTTTGTATAATGATACAAATTAAGGTAATTTTTGTTACCACATGTTGTATATGTTTCTATTCTTGTTTAAGATATTATACCTATGCAGTTCATTTAAAATTGAAAGATAAAGCTCTAGTTTTAAAAGCTATTATTAAAAACTATATGGGATAATCAAGAAACAAAGATCAATAGTTAGTCATTTATAACAATCAAATTTGTAGATATGCTAGGTATGTTTTCCAGATCATATAAAGATATATTTTAGATAGACAGATAGAAGATCTTCAAACCTTTCAAAGGCCTACAGAATATGCATTTAAAATGTTTTGTCAATTTAGGGCTTTTTATAACAATGAGACACATCTGCTCCTGGCAGCACCAATTTAGTTCAGAGACGATAGGGGCACTAAAATGACTCCGTATGGAGTTTGCTGTCATTGTGGCAAGGTTAGCCACGGAGCAAAGAAACTGCTCTTGCCTTTGACTGCTGACCATGTGCTGTGCAGACTGGACATGCAGGACCCCCAGGAAAGTGATTGCCTCAAACATTGCCAAAACAAGGTGGGATGGTCATTCAGGGTTCCTGCTTCACAGAAGAAACTGCCAGACATTCTGCAGGACACAGAGGAAAGTGACTTGCCAATATAGGTGGGACAATCTTTCAAATTTCCTGCTTCATTTAAAAGTCTACCAGATACT